AGGTACAAACTGCTTTCCCCGGAGCTGTGCTGAATGATGGCGTTGACAATAGCCGCATCTCGGATGAAGTAGAAGTGCGGCTCCACCACCTCTTCGACCTTCTCTCTAGAGCAGGGGTGGCCAAGCTGCCGCTCACGAGCCGCATGCGGCTCTTCGCCTGTTAAAGCGCGGCTCGCGGCTTTCCTCCACTGCCCCCCCCACACACACACACACACTTCCCCGCCTCCCTCCCGGTCACACGAGCACTTCCCCAAAAAGAGAAATGGAACGCGTTTAAAATCGAGACAGGTAGCCATTTGGTAGTCTTGTGCTACTGCTACCTTACTCGTACAGTTGGACTGCTTTTGACTTGGATAGATAGAAAATAGTTTGAATTTTGTTTTTTGCTGTGGACAAAAGTCCCCCCCCCCCCCCTCCCTCCCTTTGTTGCCTTTCTTCTTCCATGCGGCTCTTGAAAGTTTCGTGGTTTTGTTTGCGGCTCTTAGGCCGGGTCAACCTGGCCACCCCTGCTCTAGAGGGTAAGCGTTATGCTTTTGATCAAAACGATCTACTTCCCCTATCCACGCATTGTAGTCTTCCACAACAATGGGATACTTCACGGGTAGTTTTTGTCGAGTTGCCGTCATCCTCTCTACATCCACCTGCTCCTCCGTCTGGTTCGTGGTGGTTGGATTTAGGCAAACATTCTTACTGTCCCGCCATTGGTAGGCCGTGACATCATTTTTCTTGTGCCAGATGTAGCCACCTTTGTTCATCTTGTCAACCTTGACCTCATTGGGTAGGTCTGTGCCGTCACGTAGCTGCTAAAGCAAACTTGTATAACTAAAAAAACAAAAAAAAAAACAAAAAAACGCTGACTACCAGGGTGTACAATTCCTTCAGACAGACAGCACAATATGCTCCCAGAGAGTTCTGTTTTTTGGACGATCTTAGTTTTCTCCTTGGTACAACTGAAACCTACAAGGTAGCTAGCATTTGAGTCCGCCAGGCACCAGACTTTGAAGTCCCGCTTTATTTTTGGCTTCATTGGCATGTACCGTGTTTGCACGATTCTAGCACGCCCCCGACTGTAACGTGCAGGTAAATTTAGCTCTGAATAGTTTTAAGAATAATTTGATGCCGATTGTATCGCACAGGTAAAATAATGAGTGCTGAACACCACATCCGTGAAAGACACACATGAAACCCACCCACACGCACTAACAAAACAGCCACACTAGTCGCCGTCGGAGTCCGACGTAAGTTTCAAAATCTCGCCCTCGGTTCCGTCAATGGCGTTGAAAAGGTCACACTTTTGAAAGGAACGTACGACCATCGCCCGCAGGAGTGCTTTCCAGGCGTCGTGTACCCATTGCTCCAGGGCCCGTTTGCTCGAAGCTGGTTAACTAACCGCGGTTAACCGGATTTCCCTACGACGGGGAATTTTGGGTCACGTGACCGGCAGAGTAAGGACGGCGGGGAAACATGGCGGTGCCCCGGTGAGTGAGCTCCGCTCGCTTTGGAACTAATACGTCGCAGTAGCTGCAGTAGCGGGCGCGTTAGTCAGCAATGAATGGTGCAGGAGGTTTTCGCGCTGCATTACCTCACTTAAAACGCAAAACATGAGCAATGACCTCGCCGCATTTTTTAGATAGACTTTCGACTCTGACCATTCCTAAGCCTAAATGAACGCGATAGTTGTCGGCATGGCAACGTTTTTGGAAAGTGGATTGCCTTGACTCAATCGGCCGGGTATTGATAGCACACAGAAGCATGGAGCGTTCCCATAGACCTCTTGCTAAATTTCAAAAGCACCGAGGTGCATGCTACGAGTGTAGTTACACGCGCTGCACCTGCTGGCGTCTGCAGTAATAACTGTTCTGAAGCAAAAAGCCTAAAACAAATGTTGCCGTGCACGGGCGTTCGTCAACGATTTATTATGATTATTTACTTCAAATCTTTTATAAGTGGAAGGCCAGCGCGCGCGGATCATAGAATTACACTTCCAGCGTTCTTCTCGATGTTCGGGTAATTTAATAGGTCAATTTTCAGTGGAGCCAAGTTACAGGTTTTTCAATTTATGAGTTCTTACATGCTGGCCAACCATGCTGCCGGTGTACCGCCCGCCTTTCACTGCTCACTTCTTTCTCATCGTTTTTAGGACTCAACTTCGTCGTCCTCTTTCGAAGTCGGAAGGAAATTTCAACGAGGCTTTTCTGCACTTCATACAGCCAAATATTTAGAAAATTTCCAAACAAGGGTTAATTTAGTTTTACCTTGCCAATTATTTGTACCGCGAGCAATAAAAATGGTTTCTTAAGCTCAAATGTATGCCACGCTGCGTCGCGAAAACCAGGCAGCGCGCATTTTTTGGGTCCCCCCATTTCGGGAACCTTTCCACAGAAGCCACTTATATTCGCTACAGCCAGTAGGTGACACCAGCCACCGCCCCATAATAAAACACGGAGCTATCGCTCATCCAGCCCTCTTCAAACTTGGCTAGGTACTTGTAGGTACCTAGTAGGGAAGGTCGGTTAACTTTTAACCGCGGTTAGAGTTAACCGGCTTCGAGCAAACGGGCCCAGGTCGTCGAGCGTTGCTTTCTTCAGACGCCCTGCTGGCGTCAGTGTGTGCTCGTATGCAGTGAGCCACTCGTTGTACGCTGCACGCACATAGTCCTTCGTTGGTTTGTTTAAGCACACGTCCAGTGGCTGCAGTTGAGACGTCATCCCGCCGGGGATGATCACCAATGTGGGGGAGCATTTTGCAAGTTTGTCCTTGACACGCTGGCTGATGTGGCATCTGAACAAGTCTAGAACCAGCATAGAAAGCACTCTCAAGTCGGCTCCAGCCCTCTTTCGCCGTACGGCGTCAATCCAGTCGATCATAAGGTCGGTGTCCATCCATCTTTTGGGGTGCATCTGAACAATGACATTTTCTGGGAACTTAACATTGGTTGGCAAAGTCTTCCTTTCAGAAATCAAAAAAGGGTTCATCTTGCGCCCATCTGCCATGCATCCTAACGTCGCCGTAATCAGTTTTTTTGTTACCTGCTTGGCTCCTCTTGTTCGACCGTGTAATTCGAAGGCATGTCGAAAAACATGGGTGTTAGGTCTGCGTTTCGGATCTGTCCTATCATGTGGCCCCTATATTGTCGAAGCTTGATCATAAAACATTGGAACATGACAAACTTCGCTTCATAAGGTTTCTGGAGCTTCTGACAAATGCTCGCCTTTCGTTGCAGCGAAAATCCTTTTTGCCGCATGAACTTGGTGATCCAGCTCCTACTCGCTTGGAATCAAGAGCGGCGGATCTTGTAACCTGTAGCAAGTGCGAAAGAATTGGCCTTGATGACGTCCGAAGAGGCGGGTAGTTGCGCCAATCCTGCACGCACGTTTCCGGGATGCCCAGTGATCGTGACGCTGCTTGATTACCTTCCTTTCCAGCAAGGATGATCACTTTCTGTTTGAATGATACCTCGTAATGAAATCGCTTCTGTTTCTCCATCTTGCAACGATCGCATCAGCAGCAGCTTGGCTCAAGCTTGCGGTGACACGAGACAGCACGGCGCTTGGCCAATACGAAAGTGAACATTGTGGTACGTGATTATGTGACTGAATACGTGATTATCTGTCTGATAAATGGGAAGAAAGAAAGCGCTGCACACTTTGTAACGGGCGGTAGCATGCGTCACCTAGCCGATATTTTTAGACTTACTTTTACTTCAAATTTTTATTGGGCCCAATTGTAGCGCGCATGTCATTTTGAGCCTGAAATTTCTGGAAAGAAAGTGTGCTTTAGAATCGTGCAAACACGGTACTGCTCTAGTGTTGATCTTCCTTTGAAAAGGATCATGCTCTCGTCTACGGCAAGATGGGATGATGGTTGGCACTCGCTTTCAAACTTTTATTTCATCATATGAATCAGTGGACGCATTTTGTAGCAGCGATCATTGTCTTCCGCATCCCCGCTGTCATGAGTGTTGTCGTTTAGATTCGGACAGTTTGTTATTTTTTGGAATCTCTCGCACGAAATCGCTTGCGAGATCTCCTTCACGTTTTACAGGCTGTCCGAACTCTAATAAAGATGAAGATGGTGCATGGGGTCTCTACTCGTAAGGACGAGCATTCTGACCTATGCTCTCAGTTCTTCGGGCGTGATAGGGGCCCTAGTCTGTTCTTCTCGTTTGACTTGCATACAAGTTGGTCCGGACTGTAATGTGACCGATAACGTCTTCAGAAAAATAAAGTTGGAATGCGTCCAGTGGCATGCTGCCCTCTGAAGGCTTTGTTGTGAAGGCCACACTCCTTCGGCAACTGCACCATCTTCTGCAGCGACTGATTTGTCAGTCGAGATGCGACGCTTCTTGGGGCTGACCGTGAAGTCTTTTCGGGGCTTGCCTTTTCTGATTTTGCGTCCCTGGGGTCACTTGCTTCTCCTCGATGCTCTCTTCGGCGTCAAGGTCGGACGGCGCTTTGTGGTCGGATTCTTCCCATTCATTTTTACGGTCATCAGCAATATCTGGTAGACTAAGATATAAATCGAGAGCTTCCTCAATTGTCAGTTTCTTTTGTTTTCCTGCACAAGAATGTGGCAAACAAGTGTTAATAAATTAGAACACAAACTCTTATTAAAGAGCGCTGTTACATCTAGTTATGGTGTCACTCAGAAGACTTCAGCTTTGGCGTTCTATACTACTAAAATCTGTGAGTTCATTTATTTTCCGTACCAATAAAAAAAAAAAAAGGAACTAGATAAGGGGTGTTCCAAAGATACCAGGGACGTAAACAGTTAATTGGGGAGTGTGTTCTAACACCGTAAAATAAAGCAGCACAGAACTATTTCTTTGAGTGAAGCTTAGGATTCTTCATTCAAAAACTGCTCCAATTTGGGGGTTTTCGGTTTTCTGCGACACTGACAGAACTGGACCGCAGGTCAATTTTGCAGGGTTTACCGGTGCTCCGATAAACCCGCAAAAATATGAAATCCTAATTATAAAGGACATGATAAACCGGCGAATCTTTGGACCTGCCTCCAAGAATAGCCAATCGCTTAAATGAAAGAGGAGAGTGAGAAAAGGGTAATTACACAGGAGCCACTTGCAAACATGCTTATCGAAGGCAGTTGTTAAATAAAATGTATGTCTTCATGCTACAGTATGTCTTCCATCTCGGCATCAGCAGGCATCCCAGGCTGTCTATTTTCTGCGGGGGTTGCGGTCTCTCCAGGGCAATACATTTCCGCAAGGATCTCTGCGTATTGAGAAAAACACCAAGTGACAGAATAAAAGCTATGCAGTTTTGTGCAATATTTCTCGTAGGTAGAAAATTTGAAATAGCTTTCAGCTCATCATGCCCAAGTCCCGTTAGAGTGACAAACAAAAATAAACAACAGCGACAAGCGATACCTTTGGCAGTCATTTAGTTGTCCGGTGCTCTCAAAGTAAGCACGGGTCATCGCAAGCCGGCCAAAGATACCCTCGCGTGCATGGTGCTCGTGTTTGAGGCGCGACGGTGTCGGTTGTTTCCGTTAGTCGCTTTGCCGTGACTCGGGCATTAGAGTCTGTCTGGAAAGCTGCACTCTATATGAACACCTACCTCCTGGCACGGAAGTGGGGGCTCCTTCACTCCAGTTTGTAGACATGGTGTTGTGTGAGGCTCCTTTTGTCTTGGGACAAACCAGGGTTCTGCCACGTCATCGTTACAATGCATACAAAATACGGCACAATCTGCAGTGCCCTTTGTTGTCCAAAACATTCTGTGCCTACCATCTGCACAGATTTGACCATCGGGGAACCCCAGGAACTTGAAAAGAACCCACGTGGGAGGCTGGACATCCTCCTCGCCAGCTTTACTCTTGCCTTTCGCCGCTCTCGTCTCTTAACATAGCGGTTGCGGATGGCCTTCCACATTCTGTGACATTCGATCACCTCCAAGCCTGAAACCGGGAACCTCATCAGGATGGTACGAACAAATAACAATAATTACAATCAAACGTTACGAAGGAATAAACAGCATTGACTTTACGGGTTGGAATCGCAAAGTCGACCTGCTCGTGCATCCTACAAAAGCGCAATGTTCACTACGGAAGTACCTGCGGAAACGTCTCGAGCATCTTCGAAGGATGTTCGTTCGATAAATGTGTGGGCTTCGAACATGTCTGCAGTCAGTTCTTGAGTGACCAATATGACCATCATGGAAGGAAAAGCCTCAGACAGTGTCCCTGAAGACCGTCTCTTGACCAATCGGGATTAGCAGTGTGATCGCAACTTAAGAGTATGTCACTGAAACATCTCGTCATTATGGTAGGTGCACGTGCCACCTCCCTTGCATCCAGTGGTGTAGCCAAGGAGGAGGCTATCACTTTGCCGCCAATGCACCAGCGGCTCCAAAGTTGGTCCTGTGTCGCTGTGTCGCCGTCGTCCATGTGCCAGGGACTGGAGTCGGCAGCTGTAGTGATTCGGAGCTCGAGGGCTCTGCGGGATGTTGCCGCCAATTGCGGCGCCGGACTCCACGTCCGTACAAAAGCGTTCAATTTTTGTACGTTAGCCACGGATGTTCTGATAAAATAAATCGACGTGACCCATCTCTTTTCACTGGACATGGGGGCTCCTTCCGAGACGTGCAGGAGGTCGTTCCTTTGGCTGCCTCTTAAAGCTTTGAGGGAAGGTTTTGGCAACACTGCAGAATTGGCGAGTTCCTGGATATTGTCGGCAGGCACGGACATAGTAATAATAGTTTTATTTGACACGAATTCAGAGATGTGATTCAAGTACGGCCCCGTCCAAACGAAGTAGGGCTCATGAGTCAGAACCCGGCAGGTGAGTGTCAAAAAAGTGTACTCGGTTGTTAGTGGCCCGACTAACGGGGGAAAGCGAAAAGTTGCGAGGTAATGGGAGAGTTTTACGTATATCATTGTAACTCTTTTACTGCCTTCCACTCATGCGCTAGTAAAATTTAAACAACATTCAAAAGTGCAATTTTTCTTTGACTTCACTTTTGTGAAGTCGCAACTAGTGTGAAACTGGAAAAGGATATGGGTGACGACATAAAACTGTAAGTACTCCAAAATATTGTAACTGAATATCGCATAGGATGCTGCAAAAAGTCATCGGTGCAGATTGGCATATTGAAGTTTTTAATACTATAATTTCCAACAGCAAATTAGTGGCCTACGAACAAAATGAGCCTGTTTGTGTTGAGTGTAATACAACTGTCCAAAAAACCTTCAGCAGCGACTAAATAGCGTCATTGGTTACGACTTTAATAATATAAAGACACGTTCAATTACTTCATGGCCACATCCCTCCAAAATGCATACTATGGTTTAGGAGCGTATGAATTAGTTTTCTAAAAATCTGTCAAAACAGGGTTCATAACGGAACTTCCATGTTTATAATTAATACACAATAAAAGTTATTGAACAAAAGGTAAGGGTGCAAACGAGCTGGTGTTGGTTTAACATTTTGACTACCGTAAAATACCGGGCAAGCGCCCAATCAAATTTTGGAGATAATCGCAAAAAAATGGTGGATGAGTGCTTGTCCAGTCATCAATTTTACATATAAATGTGCGCATATTTTCTCAGATCTTGCAAATTCGGTAATGGGCGCTTAATGTGAAATGGGCGGATGCATGGTATTCTACGGTAAAAATCTCGAGACTGGGAAGAGAATGGATGGACAAACACAAGACCTTGTGTTTTTCTATCCCTTCCCAGTCTTGAGTAAAAATGTATAAAAATTATGCTTGCTTCAAAGCACTATTTTTTGCAAAAGAATATAAAAAATACCTGAGCCATTAACGTAATTGTGGCCGAAACAAATAGATATGTGTAAAATACATTTCTATTCACGCACGAGGGTCACACAATGCAACCGCTTTTCTGGATAGTCTGTAGTAAAGAATTACAGGACTGTTTATTAACTAGGTCCCATTTGTAATTTGTGGTGCATGGAGAGATGTCATTATTTCCGTGCTTACTTGACTGCAAAAAAAAAAGGTAGCTTTTTTGTTAAAAAAATTTTACTTGATGTAATTTAGGTTTATTTTATTTAAATAAGATTTATTTCATATAAATTGGATTATATTTAGCGGATTGGGACACAGCGCACAAGAAACGAAGATGGAGTAGAAGGGTGTACACAGGACAAGCGATTACTCTCAACTGAAGAATTTATTGAAAAGAAAAGGAGTTGAGTAATGCGGATTCTTGGGCGAGTTGGTACTGAAACTTGGAGAACATAATAGCGCTTCACGACTGGGACGAAGAGTAGGAATGAGACAACACAATGCACCAACTTCAACTGGTTCGTTAGAAAATCAAGGGTATAAATACTCTGCATCATCGCGCCCTTCAACCAATCCCATGCCACGCCACTGATCTCAAGAACTGTGTCTCTTTGTCGCCCAAATCGATCGACGCCACGCTGACACATCGATCTCCGTAGTTTTTTTATCAGGTCTGCCTCTATAATTTTGCTTACTGTATTATCTCTGTTTTCTAATAACAGTGCACAAATTAAATTCAGGTTTGCACCCACAGTCATGGAAGTGCATCGACAAATGACCGTCACGTTTTCTAGCCTGCTCACTAGACATAAAGAATTTATACTATTCCCTTCCGCACGACAAACTACTGACCTGCGTAGAGGAAAGCATCGATAAACACGGGGTGGTGGCCTTTCAGAACGCAGCAGGAATGACTGTAGATGACTTTCTCGAATTGCTTACATTTGATCTAAACTCGACCTTTGTTGAGTGGAACAGGGGAGTGTATATTCAGAAGCGAGGGGTGTCTATTTGCTAGTGTTTAGCTCCAGTTTTACGTGATATATTTTTAGCCCATCATGACAGAGTTCTCTCGGAATGCCTGAATGACTTTAATGGTAGCAAGGTTTTTAGATTCGTCGACAATTATTTAGTTTTTCTTCACCATGATGTTTCTCACTTTTCCTTGGTGGTGAACAGCCTTTTAACAGTTTTTAGTACCATCCTTGATCCTCTCAAGCTTACGCACGAGGTACTTGTGGACAACGTCATACAGTTTCTAGATATCAGGCTCACACTTTTGGAACAACACGTGTGTTGGAAATACCAACCAAGAGCAGATAAGCCCCTGTTGCCGTTCAATTCATCTCATTTGAAACTTGTTAAGAGAGGAATTGTAAATTTGTGCTTTGTGAACTCCATCAGAAGGTTGTGTCATCATGCAATGCCTTAAAGTCTGAAGGAGCAGTCAGAACGCTTGGTGGCTGCCGGTTTTCCAGGGACGCTCCTGGTGTCGGCTGCAGAAAAAGTTGTAAGAAGCTACGAGTAGTAGCGAGTCCAGACCAAGATGTGGCTCAAAAGAAACAAAGTCTGGCGGTTGTGCCTTACATGCACAAAACCGCACGCAATATCAAAAAGATAGCAAACCACGTAAATGCTCGGGTGGTTCTTTCTGCACCGGAAAAACTTGCCAAGTTGTGCAAAATGACGGACCCTCACCGCAAACCACCGGTTGGCTGCGTGAAGAAGCATCGCAGCTTGTTTGTAGAATGCGCAGCGAGAGTCGTCCATCAGATCTCGCTGACGTGCGGTAAAAAGTATGTGGGACAGACGGGAAGATGTCTAAATGACAGATTGCGCGAACACAACCAAAAAGCGAGCGGACAGCTTGACGATCATTTGTCAATGCACTGCCTTGACTGTGGGTGCAAACCTGAATTTAATTTGTGCACTGTTATTAGAAAACATAAAGATAAGGCGGTAAGGAAAAGTTTTACACATGCACACGCCCTAAATTTTTACACATGCAGAAATCAAGAGGGGGGTCAGGACATCCGGACCTCCCCTCTGAATCCGTTCCTGGCTGAAACTACCGTTTGCAATTCGACATTGGAAGCAATTGCCAAACTTGTGGTTCCTTAGCAAATCTCAAATTGTTTTGCAGCCATACAAATCCCAATATTGACCAGTAGATGGGCGATATGGGACAGGCACGTCAGAAGCCACCTCTCTTCTCATTTGTGTGTTGGCAAGAAGTTGTCACTGAAATATTGCCTGACCGTAGACTGCAAAACGGATTTAATTTTGTTTCGTTAGTTGATAATGAACGATAATAGTCAACAGCCGAGAATGATCTCGCTCTCACCCATGACCAAAATAGGAGCCCTGAAGGTAATTTTGGCCACCAACTGGTTGACGTCAACTTAGCCAGCTTGTCTGCACTCCGAATAAAGACCGGTAGCTACAAAAATGAAATAAAAAGTGAGTTTCAGACGCTATTCTTTTTTGTCGCCGATGGCTGGAGCACATGAGGTAAATCTTGACGCGAAAGAAATCAAGTGACCTCGAGAACACTTCCTCCGCACATAGAATAACGTGGGGCAAACATCTGTCAACATGGCATCTAGCTTAGTGTGTGGGAGGAATCAAGATGCTTCCTTTCGTAACAACAGTCAGGCATTCTTTCACAATGTCCTTGACCTTCATTTTACTTTACCACAAGACTCTGTAGGAGAAAGCAGGTGATCCCAAATCGGTTCTAGATTTTCTTACCGTGTAAGCAAACTTGCCTCTGGGCTCAAGCCTCATTTTTCAACGTCTGCTGCCGCTGCAGAAGTGGATGCCACTCCCCCCGCAACAGGGAGCACTTTGGTGCTGATGGAAGAGAGTAAAAATGTTTTAAACTCAGACCCGATATCAACTGTGCTTGTTCTTAGCAGTAAGTGATGTAGCATATTACCGCCGGTGCTGAATCTGGCCCTTAAGGAAGGCCAGTTACTTGAAGAGGTGCCATGTTGGCACGGCAAGACCATCGCGGCCAGCACCGCTCCGGCCTCTTTGTTTCTTCGATTCTCTCGCATACTTGGCCCTCATGGCCAGCCAAGCCTGACAGCAGGCGTTAGAGTCGCTGCCTGAAGTGAATGAAGTAAATGTGGCATAAATAACTAAAGTATCGCTTATGAATACAAGTTTTAGAACAGAAATCATGATGGAACTAGATTTATAACACAACTTCAATTAGGACAGCCAATAGGTGCAACAGACATGCACCAGGTTTGCTTGCCAGTATTCAACCCAAACTTTACAAACCTCCTTCAGCATCTTGAAATGTAGTCTTTTTATGTTCTGCCTGTTTGATCTCTTCATTACTGATCGCTCGATTAATAATGGCTTCCCATTTCGTGCCATGACTTTGGGAAATGGTTATGCGAGGTACGCAAACGAGAGGTGCGAGCAGTGGGTTGTGGGTGGGTGTGCGCTGCCCACTCGGACGTGAATGGTCACAGACAGCTGCAGGGAGGCCGCATCTGTGGCTCCGAGGCAAACCGCCGGCCCAAAGAATCGAATCCCCAGTTGGTGGGTTGGAATCCTAGCTGGAGAGAAGGTGCCAGGTAACCGAGATTTCAGTTTCACGTTCAAAGAATCCCAGGTGATGTAAATTAATCGCTGAGGTATGCGACGGCCTTCCTTGATTTGGCATGCAGAACTTCGCAAACGTTTCTTTGCGAATGGCAGGGAAGTCTATTGGCACTATCGCCTCCGGCGTGACCCAAAACAAATCTTTGATAACACTTTGGCGTCTTGCGAGCTTCGAGTGTACGCCCAGGCGCGTGCAGCTGACCGTGAACGGGAACGTTCATGCATAGTGAAAGTTAGACAGAAGGCAACAAGCGTGCGATGAAGGCAGGCCGTCCAGAGG